TGCAGAAAAGATAAGAGAGAGAAAACAAAGCTCATCAGGTGTTTGAAGAAAGAAGTAGGGGGTCTTCTTCCATTGCAGAAAAGATAAGAGAGAGAAAACTAGCTAGAGACTGTTTGAGACATTTCTTCAAAGATTTTTGTTTTAATTATGGCTTGTTGAAGTATTTCTCTTCCACATTCAATTCTTGGGGATCTGGTTGTTTTGTATATGTGCTTTTTCTTGATTTTTCCTTGTCGGGTTTTTGCCAAAATTTATGTTAAAGATTGAACCTTGGATACTCCGTTTCCTGAATATCTTGTCGATTTTTGTGCGGTATTTCTTTCCTTGCTTTGCAAATTTTCTTTAACTGTTCGAAGTGAAATACTAAATCCACTGGATCTCACACTTCAATCCCAAAGGTCTTGTGGGTACAATTTACCCTTTTACTCCTTCTCGGTTGTCCTTCTCTAGACCTAATCTTCAAGAAAGTTCAAATGTTGGGTTTTCATGGCCTGGTCCAATTTTAATTAGGGTTCTTTTCAGCTCAATCTCAAAACAGAGTATGACTGTTAGGTTTTTGAAAAATGAATTAAAAGGGTTCTTTTCCCTCCTTTAGATATGGGGTTCTGATTTTTGAAACCGAAGGTTCATTCTGGTGGAAGCTTTTCTTTTCTTTTTATTTTTTTAAGCTTTAATTCCTTTTGCTTTTTGGAGATTACGGTTTGAATTGAGTCCTCTTTTCTGTAGTTGCTAGTTAGATGAGCTAAACTGAAAAATTGACCCTTTGGTTGATTATTCTTTCTGAACATCTCTCACACTCTAATCAGATTGATTTTACAGTAGAAGGAAAAAAAAAAAAAAAAGGCTTTGATGCATATCTCACTTTGGAAGCCATTATCGCACTGTGCTGCTCTAATCTTGGACAAAAAGAGCAGAAGAAAAGATGACTCTGATCGTTCAACAGAAGAAATCAAGAGAAACCCTTTAATTCTGAGGAAATTGCAAGAGCATAAGCTGATGGAGGCTCTTGAGGAAGCATCTGAAGTTGGATCTCTTGTTAAATCCCAAAACATGGATTCTGATTCCATGGTCAATCAAGATGAGGGTTTGGGTCGATCAAGATCACTTGCTCGACTAAATGCACAGGCAGAGTTCCTTAGAGCCACTGCCCTTGCAGCTGAGCGCACATTCGGTTCAGGGGACTCCATTCCCGAGCTTGTTGAGGCGTTCTCTAAGTTCCTCACGATGTATCCTAAGTATCAGTCATCGGAGAGGATTGATCAGCTGAGGGCAGATGAGTACTCACATCTCTCTGGTGCCAATTCAAAGGTATGTCTCGACTACTGCGGATTTGGATTGTTTTCATTGCTACAAACTGTTCACTACTGGGAATCGTCCACATTTAACTTGTCTGAGATTACTGCAAATTTGGGAAATCACGCTCTATATGGGGGTGCTGAGAAAGGCACCATTGAACATGATATAAAGACAAGAATAATGGACTATTTGAATATCCCTGAGAATGAGTATGGCCTTGTATTTACCGTGAGTCGTGGCTCAGCCTTTAAACTGTTAGCTGAATCGTATCCATTTCAAACGAACAAAAGGTTGTTGACCATGTTTGATCACGAAAGCCAGTCTGTGAATTGGATGGCTCAGAGTGCTAGAGAGAAAGGTGCCAAAGTTAATAGTGCGTGGTTTAAATGGCCTTCTCTCAAGCTCTGTTCGACTGATCTGAGGAAACAAATTTTGAACAAACGGAGGAGGAAGAAAGACTCCGCTGTTGGCCTTTTTGTGTTCCCTGTGCAGTCCAGAGTTACAGGAATGAAGTACTCATATCAATGGATGGCCCTGGCTCAACAGAACAACTGGCATGTTTTGCTTGATGCTGGGTCATTGGGCCCAAAGGACATGGATTCCCTTGGATTATCTTTATTTCGACCAGATTTCATCATCACTTCATTCTACAGAGTGTTTGGCTATGACCCGACTGGATTTGGATGTCTTTTAATCAAGAAATCTGTGATGTCAAGCCTTCAGAATCAGTCTGGTCATGCTGGGTCGGGTATAGTGAAAATTAACCCTGTGTTTCCTCTGTACTCGAGTGATTCCATGGATTATTTTCCGGGATTTGTTGAGGACAAAGAAGTCGGTGGGAATGAAGTTAACTCGGAAACTCGTCCAGGATCTCAGTTGCCTGCCTTTTCTGGTGCGTTCACATCTGCACAGGTGAGGGATGTATTTGAAAGTGAGATGGAGCATGATAATAGTTCTGATAGGGATGGAGCAAGCACTATTTTTGAGGAAACTGAGAGTATTTCTGTTGGGGAGGTAATGAAAAGCCCTGTCTTTAGTGAAGATGAATCATCGGATAACTCACTGTGGATTGATTTAGGTCGGAGTCCACTGGGTTCTGATAAAGCTGGTCATTCAAACAAACTCAATGTGGCCTCTTCATCGCCACCAGTTTGGTTCACTGGCAGAAGAACTCGTCAGCAAATTTCTCCGAAAGCACTATCAAGTAGCCCGATGTTTGACAAGGAATCGAATACAGGACATCATGAAGACTACCATGTATTATCATTTGATGCAGCTGTTCGATCAGTATCTCAAGAATTGGACCATTTTAAGGAGATTCCTGAAGAAGAACAAATCACTGAAAGAAATGAGGCTTCAGGAGAATGTAGAACTCCAGATTCTCATCATTATCATGAAATTGAAGAAGAAACCGATACCAACAAACCACTGAATTCTGCTGTAAATGGATATGGTCCCAACAACTTTTCTTCTTCTTCTAATCATATAAGCATTCAGAGTGGCTCAGCTTCAGAGATATTCCCCGATAGAAAGGAAAGTGCAATAAAACGAGAGACAGAAGGTGAGTTTAGGTTGCTGGAAAGGAGAGAAAGGAGTAGCATTGCAGGTGGTAGATTTTTTGGCATAGAAGAGACGGAACAGCCTGGAAGCAGGGAAAGAAGGGTATCCTTTAGCATTGAAGACAGTAACAAAGCTCGTCTAAGCCATACTCTGGAGCCTGGAGAATTATCAGCCACGAGCCTCGACAATGAGGATTACATTAGTAATGGGGAATACGGAGGTGAACAAGAGCTGGACAGGAATGAACCCGAGTTGGTCTGTAAACATCTTGATCACATAAACATGTTGGGTCTCAACAAGACAACCTCTCGACTCCGATTCCTGATTAATTGGCTCGTAACTTCATTGCTTCAGTTAAGATTCCCGGGTTCAAACGGAAAGGACAGTGTACTACTTGTTCAGATCTATGGACCTAAAATTAAATACGAAAGAGGTGCAGCTGTTGCATTCAATGTGAGGGACAGAAACCGGGGTATGATTAGTCCGGAAGTTGTTCTGAAGCTGGCCGAGTCACAGGGTATCTCTCTTGGTGTTGGCATTCTCAGTCACATACGGATTCTAGATAGCTCCAAACAGCAACGAGGATCTTCAAGTCTTGAGGATACAACCCTTTGCAAGCCAATGGAAAATGGCAGACAAGATGGTAAAAGCGGATTTGTCAGATTTGAGGTTGTCACTGCTTCTCTTGGCTTTTTGTCTAATTTCGACGATGTTTATAAGTTGTGGGAATTTGTGGCTAAATTTCTTGACCCAGCCTTTGTCAAAGGGGGAGTCCTTGCACCTGTTGCAGAAGAGGTAGAAGCATGAGGCCTGAATCTTTGTGTTAATGTTCTATATTTCCTTTACCGATGACAAGGGGGAGATGCAGAGATGTATTGCCAGTCGAAGGTTCAATATAAGGGGCAGATGGTTCATTTCACAGGCCGGCAGACTATTCAAGTGTGGGAGAAACAAAGATGGAAACGTTTTGTTTAGATTCCTTTTGCCCCTACTGCCTCTCCTCCTCCTCCTCCTCCAAGTAGATGGCTAGTTCATTTACGTGTTCATTTGCTTGAAATGTTTTCTTTTAGCTTCTGGGGTCTTGTAGAGTTGTTAGAAATTTACTGTCTCAAATAGTAATGAAGAATTAGAGCACATACAAATGCGTGTAAGAGCTTGTTATTGATCAAAGTAATATGATGGACAAAAATCTTGTTATTTTGTTTGCTTCAGGTTATTATACATTTTCTCTTCTTCGTGTCTATCTTAAGAGCAGAACTATTTTAGATGAAGTCGTTTACACGGTCAACTCGTATTCTTCCAAGTTACTCCTCTTGGAAGAATGAACAGCAAGGTGAAACTTTTGAGATTGTGAAAGTGAGGTCAATTATTTAGGTGCCGTTCTCTTCGTGTTTCAGTTTTGTGTTTTGAATTCATTTTGTATTTTGTATTTTGCGTGTCTGTTTTGGAATTGCTGAAAACTCGTTCTCTTTGTCATTTTGAAAAACTGTTTCTCAAAATAGAAAACTTGAAAACACGTTTACTTTGAAATTTTGAGAATTTTTTTTTATAATTTCTTATTCAATAAATCTGATTATTCAATAAATTTTAATAGTTTAATTTTAATATAGTAGTAAATAATATTGAGATGCCTTGTCAATTAAATTTGGCAAGTCCTTGATTATAGCATTTACATTGAGATGTCTTTTCACGAGTAAATTTGAGGAGTAGAACCGACATCATTAATAGAGTCGAGAGAAAGTAAATAAAAGACCAAAACAGTTTCAATTTTAGTTAATTATCTTAGTACATCCATACAATTAAAAAAAATTGCTAAAAAAATACGAAGTTGCAATAATAAAGAAATTTATTACACGGGTTGCTCTGTTCTCTATGTACAAATAAAAATTTTACTAGAAAATGAGCCACACAGGTTTTTGATCTATATAGACCTTGTTCATTAACAAGCTCCCTTGAAAGCTCTACCCATTTACTCGTTACCAAATGAAATTGGCTGAACTGGATAACAAACCGAAGATAAGCTATTAATGGCTCATTTACAGTCTCAATCTCCCCAGAGTAAACAATTCTTTCTGGAAGGCTAATCACCACTTCCATCCTCCACAAACATAGCCTCCATCATCTTTCTCAGGTAAAAGATCTATTTGCATCCAAAACTCTCCAGACATAGCTAAACTGCCTCAACTCACTATGTTGACTGATAGGCCCCAAACGAAGGCGTGCAGACTTCCATGACAGAACTGTTAAGATGTGATTTTTACCTATCGTTCCACCAGCATAAATTTGGCAGATCTCGAACAGATTCTCTAACTGACCTTCAAGCAAGAGAGAAATTTATTAGATAACCGTCCAAAATCAGAAAGTTGGCCCACCCCTGGCTAACCCAAAATCAGAAAGTTTGGCATTGTAGTTCTGTGTATTCAAAAGCATAAAATAGTTGGGAAGTCTTAGAATTATGTGTACAAAGGAATCCGATGACACCATAGAGCCAATACCAGTTTAGCCTTTGAAAATATGTACTGAATCAAGCAGGATATTTGAATTCTTGAAGTCCCGAGATATTACTTAAGTCTCAGCATTGTGAAGAAAGGCAAGTTCCCGCGCCAAGAGCAAAATTGTAAGAACTATTTGAACCCTGAAGCATTCTGGAATCCGGGTTGTTTGGTTGTTGTAACATAATTTCTGCTAGTTTTTAAGTTATCCAAAGTTATTCATAGTTAGTCAAGCCTTTGTGATAGCTTATACATCAAACATTGATCACAGTACCATGGAATTCTGCTACAAACATGCTTCATTTCAGATTATTGATTATGTTAGGTAGCCTCCTTAGTGTTATTCAATTCCACTTAGTGGTCATCAGGAGGCCTATGCAATATCCCCTATGTAATGAAATTCCTACCAACTTAAGAAATATACAGAGAAACATATAAAATCACCACAGCCACTCCTTTGTACGAGTCAACTCATACAAAAAAGCTCATTTGGTATGCCATCTTGAATTTATACAATCAGATGTAACTTTAAATAAATTCGTTTTAATTAATGTCTTTGATGGAAATTTAATTACATAATTTGTTACTAAAATACCCACTACTTAAGCACCCACCCACGCACTGCACAGTCAGAATTATTCATTAATCTGAATGAACAACTCAGGGAAAACACTGTATCCGAGTCAATATGAAAGCACTAATATTAAAATGATTTATCAAATTAAGAGTTTTTTCAGATAAAAGAGTTGCTTACCCACAGGATTGGCATCTATGAGCTTCTCTCCGACAACATTAACGGCATCAATGAGAGCGCTTGCTTGGTTAGTGCGAGGCAGTCTTTTCTGCGATATGAACGACCGGAGCACTTCCGCTGTTAACTTCGTCGTGGCCTTCGACCCCTCAATTTTACTGTAAACATCAACGAACATGAGTGGAAATACAATTATGCTTTTACGGCTTTGATTAACTAAGAGGTGAAAATCAGTACCACCTTTTGAGCTTCATTATGAATTCGTTTACGAAAGAATTGACCTTCCAGCATGATTCCTGAAACAAAAAATCACCTGAACAAGTGATTTTTTTAGGTTATGAAATTTGGAAATTTGTTGCGTTTGACGAATTTGGTTTCTTGATTTTAAGGGCTTTCCGCTTTGTGTGTCGAGCCCGAAACCATTAGGGAAATGCTACATGTACAATGTTGGATTACAACATTGGGTTACAATCTCTCACAAAAGAGGTGGGTCCCGCGATTAAAATAATAGTGGACCCCACCTCTCTTGTGAGTAGTTGTAAACCAATGTTGTAATCCAACATTGTACAAATAGCATTATTCAAACCATTATAAGGGGATTTCAAGGGCTTTCTGCTTTGTTGCGTTTGAAGAATAGAGAGGCTCCATTGTTTTGGCAGAAGAAGGAATGGTGGTGGGCTGGGAATGGAAAAGGCCGTTTCCCATGTTTTGGAGTTTTTGGTGGGATTAGCTTGGAAACAGCCAACACGTGGTTTTTGCCATTCTGTGTTTTACGTGCAATTTTTTTTTTTTTCAAAACGCGTTTTCGAAAATGGGGAAGAGAACGCGTTTTCGTTGTTTTGAAAAATCGAAAACAGAAAACGGCTTGAAAACGGCAAAGAGAACAGAGCCTTATTGATTGTAAGAAATCGGATCTTATTGCTCAAAGATTTTGACTGCCATTTTCATTTATGTTTAGTTTTTCACATGGAAGGCCGGCTAGTAGCAGTAATTGGATTACATTCTCTCCTGCATTTCTTCTAGTTCTCGTACTTTCGATTTTAAGTCGTTTACTTCGTTTTAGACCTTCGATTATTGACATGTTTGGTATGTTTAAGCGCGACAACTGACAAATATATAAACACAGATGCTTGCTTTAGCTTGCAATGTGATGACAACAATTTATGAAGTTTCAATGCTGCTATTACTTCCATGCACTAATTTTGAAACACAAAATTTATGTAGAGCTTGTTTGAGATAAATTAAAATCCAATTAAAATTGAAAATATAGCCGTTATTAGGTCACACTCATCTAATAAAAGTCAACAATAATAGTTAGTTTTTCAATTTTAATCTGATTTTAATCTCTACCAAACACACTCTTAAACTTGTAAGGTTCTGCACAGGTAAATCAATCCATCCAAAAACTCGAATGATCATAAATTAGACATATGATTTTCAATGCACTGCCTTACATGCACACTCAATTCATTTTTTAACAATGTTATTTATTATTAATTGTGATCGTCGGTTTAGGTGGCCTGCGTAGAATGTTTGGGTAAGCCCCCGTTTGGCGGTCATTATTTGGAAAAATAAATGTTTTGAATAATGATTTTTTAGAGAATGTGTGGTAAGTAGGGAAAAAATTTGTATTTCCGTTCAGAATATTTTATTGTGTGATTGTGTGGTAGAAAATGAGTATGTAAAAAAAAAAAGAATTTTGAAAAAAAAAACCATCAAACATGAGCAAGTGGCACGCAATTTTATGATGGGCCAACACATAATTGGATGGGAAAAATTCATATTTCAGATTTACCTTACATACAATTTCAAAAATAAGCTCATGTTTGGTACGCATTAAAATTTTCATTCTCATTCTTCTACTCATTTTCAACAACACATTCTTCAATAAAATAATATTTTCCATCACATCAATAACTTTTTCTTCTTTTTTAACCACAAATTCTTCATCAATCTACTATTTCAGAATACATTCTTTCAAAATAATGTGGATCAAACACACCCTTAAGTTTGGGGGTGGAAAAAGTTTTGAGTTTTTACTTTTCGTGTATTTTTTTTAGTGTTTGTGTGTTTGTTCTTCGTTATTGTTTTAGAGTGTGTTTGGTAGGAATTTTTGGGGGAAGAATTGATTTTTGAATAGTGATATGATAGGAAATGTGTGGTTGAAAAAGAAGAAAAAAGTATTGATGTGATGGAAAATATTATTTTATTGAAGAATGTGTGGTTGAAAATGAGAATTGATTTACTGTAGAAAATGAGAATCTGTACCAAACAGATCCTTAATATATAATAAAAATTGAAAAATTTCAACCAAAAAAAATATTTTCTTGTTTTAGGCTGTGTGCTTGTGTGAGTTAGATAATCTGGCCGACAANATTCAAAAATTTTATAGGTCACAATTTGTTTATCAGTCACAGATCAAAAATTTTGGAGGTCGTGGATTATTTCGAGGTCACAAATCAATAATTTTATAGGTCAAAGATAAAAAAATTACAGGTTATAAATTAATTTTTAGTCACAAATTGTCGAATTTTAAGGTCACACATAGTTCATTATCCGGTCACAGCTATTCTAATTTATTACCACCGTCAACAGTTGCGACCACCAGTTCAACGCCGTCTCTAGCAGCATCACCACTACCGTCCACCGCCACCACTACACCAACAGTACCCACACAACCACTAGATCCACCACCATCACCCACCACCACCGTCCACCGCCACGCACCACGACCACAACCAGATATACCAAAAAAATGGGTGGTTTAGGTCTGAGGGTAGAGGTGAATCCATATTCTTCATGTACTTGAACTAGTAATTTCTTGAACAATGGGTGGTTCAGATCTGAGGGTAGAGAGTCTGGTGGTGGAGAGAATAAAGAGGATATTGCAGAAAAAAATTTGGTTGAGATTTCGATGGTGGAGAGTTCGGCTGCAAGCTGCTTTACTTCGCTGCACTGCCGCAGTCTGTTCTTCTGGCCGGTGATGGTTTGGCTGAGAGAGACTACGACAGGTATAAAGAGAGGAACGAGAGATGTAAAAATAGAGAGAGAAATGAGAGAGGCAGCGATGGGTGAGATTTGCAAAAAGTGGCATGTGCCGCCTCCGCCGATGCTCCATCAAATCGCCGATGATGGAGAGGGAGAGAAGTGAGAGACGGGAGAGAAGAAATAAATTTAGGGTTTGATTTGGGATGAAATTAAAATATAATTTGTATATATATAATATATATAATTATAATCTTTATCTAATTAACAATATTTGATTTTTGAAAATTAAAACTTGAAATCTGATTTTGGAAAATAGATCTTGAAAAGTAGGGAATTTGGTAATTTGCACTAATTGGATACTATTTGACTCTTTTATGTTGCGATGGACTTTTAATAACTCATTTTCGCACTTCTATATCAAATTCAATCATGGTACGTGTACGTCAAATTTGATATTACACGAGTTGACAATTTTTTGTACATTAATTTTAACAATACTTTTGTAATCAATGGTAAGATTTTCTACGTGTAGAGATGTCAAACTTGATGCTAACAAAGAATGTACAAGAAGCATAATTCTATCAAATTAAACCCTAGGAAGTCTCCCTGACCTCAATTTCTCGTCCTTTCATTAGAAAAAGGGACATAAAATCTTGTATCCCCCTAAAATGTGATACAATTAACATTTTTTTTTTTTTTTGGAAAGTATGATTAAAAAGTAGGAAAATGCTTTGCATTTACGAGTAAAATTATTTTATTGGGAGAATGTGTGGTGAAAAATAAGTTTGGAAAAAAAAAATGAGTTTTTAAAGAATGGAACCCAAACAAAGACTTATACCTGGCGAGAAAAATGTGAAATCCTAATCTTTACAAAAAAATATTTTCCATATTTTTGTTATAAATATATTGAGAATCTTATCTCAAAAGTTAGTTATTGAAATTGAAAAATTTAAATCTAAATAAACCACACAACAAAATCTCATACTTTCGATGTTGGATCTAAATCATATATCTTACAATTAGATTGATGACAAATCATCACGCTTTGCGATCCCTTCGCCCACATTAGACTAACTTTTTATAGCTCATGACTAAACATTGCTATGCCTCAATTGGTGGTGTCTATTTTGATACTATGTTATAAATATTGAGGACGTCAAAAAAATTAGTAGTTGAGGTTGAAGATCCCAAATCTATATAAATCACATATTAAAATCTTACATTTTCGATGTAAGATTCAAATTCCATACCTTGCTGAATCTATATAAATCACATATTGAAACCTTACATTTTCGATGTAAGATTCAAATTCCATACCTTGCCGTGGAAATGACAATTTTATCCAATTAATCCAAATGGCAAGCATAAGGGGGTACTTAATTTTTCTAATTGGGTGACCAATAATGAATTGTTAGTGATCAATTTGAAATTTATTACAAATTTCAGTGACTGCCAGTGAATTAACTCAAATAATATTTAGGGCCCGTTCGGTAGGGATTAAAATCGGGAAGAATACATAAATACGGTGTTTACTTTTACACATTTCAAAAATCAGCTTTATAATATGAAAATTCAAAAATCAGGTTTTTTTTAATGAAATAATTAATTATTAAATCAATTTATTATTAAATATTTAATTCTAATATAATATAATATAATTAACCCACCCCACATACCCCACCCATACCACTTCGGGGGCTATTCCGACGACCACTCTTCTCCGGCGACTTCTCCGGAGACCGTTCCGGCGACTGCTCCGATTCCGACAATTATTCCGGCGATTATTTCGGTCACAGATTTACAAATTCCGATCACAGCTCAACATTTTTGTAGGTCACAATTAATTCGTTGGTCACAGATTTCAAAATTAGTTGGTCACAGATTTTTTTTTCAGGTCACAATTCAAAATTTTCATATGTCACAATTTGTTTATTGGTCACAACTTAGAAATTTGAAAGTCACAACTTGTTCATCGGTCACAGATCCCAAAATTTATAGTCACAATATTTATTTAGGTCACAATTTATCAAATTATTGGTCACAAATTAATAATTTTTAAATCACAAAACATTTATTGGTCACAGTTTATCTAATTCATTGGTCACATCTTGTTTCCTGACCATAAACTAACCAAATTATTGGTCATCCTCCAAACACAGAGATCTCGCACACCAACTGTACTGCCATTCT